CATTGTCCTATAAAAAGGGAGAAGCAGAGGCCCACGCAGTCCCTGTTGGCAGGGAAAGGGTGAAGCTGGGCATCGGAGCTCCAGCCTGGGCTCTTTCCAGACACAGCGACCTTCTCTTTACAAGGTCATTTTTGCTGGGCGTCTCACTCCAACCCCAAAGCCAAAAATTCCCCCGTTTGAACAGGATAAACATTCCCATGGCAAAGGAACGCTGTGTTCCCCAGAGGAGATACAATCACGTTGCTCCTGCCGAGGCTGCGCAGGCTTATGAAACGGAACACGGGGCTGAGGGCCTGGACCTGGGCCCGGGGCAGCCACCCTCCCTCAGCCCCCAGCTGTACCCTGCCCAGGAGGGTCACTCCTCCCTAACCCCCCAGCTGTACCCCACAAGACAGTTGGAGACACAGCAGAGCCCAGGGAGGGGAACTGGGTCTAATCTTGACTCCGGAGCAAGCTGCCGGTGTTTCTGGGTCTCTGCTTGCTGTGTCCATCCCGAGCTGGAGAGCCAGCTTCAGAAAGCGTGCAGCTTATGTCCATGTGAGAAACAACACCGGCTTTGCTTTCTTGCACCTTGATTTCTCCGTCTGTAATTGGGACTATTGTTTGCATAAAGGAGAGACTCCAAGGTGATCCGGATGACTCTGGATAGCACATCCCTGTGCAATCATTCATTCTTTCCATCCCTCATTAAACGTATATCGGAGGCTTGTTATGTGCCAGGCTGGCTCCCGGGCCTTGCAAATACAGAAATCCACAAGAGAACGGGCCCTCTCCTTAAAGGGCTCATAATGTGTACACACATTTTCCATCAAAAGACATATAAAAATGTTTGCAGTATTGTGGTTAGAAAAGAATATCTAAGCTACCCATTCTCAACTCCCACCTGTGTACTGGTGCCCCATTCCTTTAAAAAAAAAAAAACAAAAAAAAACAAAAACAAAAAAAAAACACCATTTTTCCTTGATTAGATGATAGACATTGCTTTTATATTTTAACATTTCTGAAATCAAGATGTTCAATTTTTATTAGCAGGAATTTTCTTCTTCCTTGGGGATACAAAAAATAAAGATACATCTTGCAGTTGATAACATCTTAGATTCAATGAAATATGTTTGGAAAAAAAGTTATTTTTCAACTGGACTTTTAATGGATTTCACAGCCACTGAATTTAACACAAAGCCTTTCCAAAATATTTCTATTTCACCCAGATGTGTGGTGTCATGGAAATCATGTGTCTAGATATCTAGTTAGTTGCTCCTTGCTTTTTATCTGGATGGCTTGGAAGGAATCCTGCAGAGGAGCCCGGATGCTTTATCACGTCGTGGCCACTAGAGGGAGACAGAGTGTTGGAGAGGGACAGGTTGCCAGGTTTGTTAGCTTTTGCTCTCAAACCTCCCCCTCATGCTCCCCGCAGATCAATCTGAAACTCCGGATACTCACCTCCAGTGTCAGATAGAGAAAAAGACCCCCTTCCAGGCAGGTGGCAGCATCAAAAAGGGGAGTGGGTTGGATCTGAATGATATTGGCTGATCTACGCTCAAAATCAGCTATTGTTTAAATGAGCTCCTCCTGGGAATGAGGACAGGTACTAGACATGGCAGAGTTCTGGCTCGGAAATGCAGGGCTGGTGGGTGGCCCTATACCCTACTTAAGCTGTTCAGTTCTCATGAGACCCACATGATTTGTAAAGCTCTCCAAGGAAATGTTCCCACTCTAGTATCACCTGTAGCTTTCTGTCTTTCCTCCCCTCATTTAACTGTTCATTTATTGAGCACCTACTATGTGCCAGGCACTGTGCTGGGAGCTGGGGTTACAGCAGCCAACAGAACAGACAAGGTCACTGTCCTCATGCCTGTTAAATGCCAGTAGAGAAGCAGATACTATGCAAATAAATATACAAATAAATCTATCATTGAGTGGTGCAAAGAAATGCTATAAGAAAAAATTCTGGATCTTCTGACAGCATGTGACAAGAGAACACAGTCAGGGGTGGATCTGGGAAGCCTTCTCTGAAAAGTGCTCATTGAGACAAAGCCTGAAAGACAGGTAGGAGTTACCCAGGTAAAGAGCAAGGTAGAGCCCTTCTAGTCAGATGAATCTGCATTTGAGGTGGAAATGTACTTACTTAACACCTTCTAGGCACTAAAACAAGGCCAGTGTGGAGCCCACGGACAAAGGGCAAGAGAAGCACAGGACGGGCTAACACCTAACGGGAACTCAGTGCTACAGAACCTTGCATGCCCTGTAAAAGGCATCATTTTCCATCTGTAGCCATTGAAAGGTTTTAAGCAAGGACTGACATACGTGGATTTAAGTGTTAATAAGACAGCTCTGATGACCCTGAGGAGGACAACTTGGAGGAGAAATCTGAGAAGTGGGGAGTCCAATTGGGACTTACCAGAGAGGTGGCAAGGGGTGATGGCAGCCAAATAGTAACATCGGACATGAAGGTGTATTTAGAGATAGAAATACTGGACTTGGAGACTGGAGGAGCAGGGAATACTGAGTTTGACTCCTGAGATTTCTGAAGGAGCAGTTTGGAAGGGAAAGAGGACTTGTCCTTGGATAAGCACCTTTGAGGGGAGAGGACACGACTTAGGAAGAAAATGAGTTGTTTCAGTATATTAACTTTAAGCTACTTCTAGAACATCCACAGGTGTAAACTAGACAATTAAGTCAATGAATCCAATGCTCAAAACTGGGCTGGGAATGCTAGATTTTGGAGTCATGGCAAGATCAAGCCATGGCAAGAGCTGAGTTCAACTGGGCAGGAGCATCACTAAAGAGAAGATGGCCCAGAACAAGCTCATACTTACAGGAGGAACCAGCCAAGGACAGCGTGAAGGAGCAGCCAGAGAAAGGGTCAAGTATGAAAGCTAAAGAGAGAAGAGTGTGTCTGGAGGGATGGCCAAGTTTATGGAATACCACTGAGGGGTCTAGTGAGATGAGGACTGAAGCATGTTTGGATTTGCCAGCATAGAGATCTTACAGCAAGGGCAGTATCAGTAGAAACTAGACTGGGGTGGCTAAAGAGAAAGAAAAATGCCAAGAGCCCAATTGAGGATGGCAAGCATCAATTTAAAGGGAAAGTCGCCTACCCAGTTATGCAATTTCTCTCTAGCAATGTTCATTGCTTGATAAGAGCATGGAAAAGATGGAGGGTTGGGTTAACCTGGCTGGGATTTCACCACACAATAATGAGAGAGGGAGAGAAGAAGGAGCAAGGGGGTTGAAAAAAGGAAAATGATAGGCCATGAAATTTAAGTTGGTTAAGGAAGAAAGAGGAGATGGGGGGGTGCTGGTAGAGGTAAGTGGTTGGGATGAAAGAACTATATCAGAAGGTGCACTTGAGCAGGTAAGCTGGAAGTCCAGGAGGTAGTGACCAGAGGAGAGAATCAAGATTTTGAGATTTCAGAGTTTGGATGATATCAAGGCCATGTGTGGTTATGGAAATCAGTGGCTGAAAGGAAGAGGTAGAGTGAGTCACCAGAGATGAGAAAGACAAGGATCTGCGAAGTCAGAAAATGATGAGTTAATGTCAGTGAGGTCAGTGTCAATGCCTGGACATTGAAGTTGCTGAAAATTATTGGAGTAGCGATAACTATTAGGAGACCCTAAAGCAACAGTTCTGAACCTGTGGGTCGCGACCCCTTTGGCGGTCGAACGACCCTTTCACAGGGGTCGCCTAAGACCATCCTGCATATCAGATATTTACATTACGATTCATAACAGTAGCAACATTACAGTTATGAAGTAGCAACGAAAATAATTTTATGGTTGGGTCACAACATGAGGAACTGTATTTAAAGGGCCAGAAGGTTGAGAACCACTGCCCTAAAGTCTTCATTGAATGAGAGAGTGAGCAGTTAGAGGGGTAGTATAGGCCTCAAAGAAGAGAGGATTCTACACAAGCAAGGTATATAGTGGTCTGGAAGCAACAGTGAAGAACAATAATTCCTCTCATTGGGAGTAGAAGAGGAAATAGTCGGGGAAATGATACTAATGCAGGTATAGAAAGAGGGACTTCAGCCCCTTTGGAAATGTCTGCAATCCTTTAGGAATGTCTGCAATGGTAAAGGTAAGGAATGCTAGCACCCATTCTGGGGATCTGCAATCACTGTCCTGAGATACACTGCCCTGCAACTCAGAGGAGGCAGCACCAAGCAATAGAGAAAATCTAAATCATATTGAAGAGCCCATGTGCAGGTCCAAAGCCAACTCTCAAAGAAACAATAAAGTAAATGAAGACGTAACTGAGCTGAAGGAGGCCAGGGAAGAATGGTTAAGATTACTGAATGGGAAGGGGAGAAATGCAGCACTACCTGGGACCCAGAATAGATTGAGAAACTGAGGACTTCTGGCAGATGTTGTTCCCAAAAGTATGTCATGGCATAAACCCTGGCCCTAGCGGTCCCACACAGAGGGGGGAGGATGTCTGGCCTGGTGCACTCAGCTTCAAACAGATTATACTAGAGTTTCTTACTGTTTCTAGGGAAGGAAAAGGAGGAAGGAAATGGAAAGAGCACTGAGGGCGGAGGGGAGAGAAGGGAGACTGGAGGTCAACTATAAGCAATGTAGGCTCCCTAGCAATTAAGAAAACAAGTTTCTTTTAGATCGCCACTAAGTTGGAAGAGCCAGATCTATGTGTATGTATTAAGGGAAAATATATGTACAGATAGTACAACGACCAATATAAAAGGTAGAGAAAAATATTTCAGGAGTCAGAAAAAAAGGAGAGACACCTATTCTGGGTGTCAGAGAAATCTTCCCAATGGAATGGACTTTATTCTGGACTTGGAAGAATGGGGGGATTTTCAAAGGTAAAGTTCACATGGATGGAAGAATGGCTCTAGGCCGCTCTGGCAGCACAAATGTCTGGAACAGCAGGTCCCATGTGTGTCAGGGCAGACCATATGCTTCCTGAGGCCTCTATCCAGCTTCAGCCAAGTCCATGTGAGCCCGATCCTGACGCACCTGTTCTGTCCCTTTTTTTCCACCAGTTGCATGACCAATGAGCGGCCACCCCCTGAAGGAGATGTCTGAAACTCACAGCAGTCCTCTTCTGGCAGAGCCTCTTTCCAGCAGATACAAACTCTATGAGTCTGAGTTACCCAGCCCTACCTGGCCCTCCAGCCCTCAGGATACATACCCGGCCCTGCCCCTCCTGGAAATGCCTGAAGAAAAGGTGAGGAATGTTTCTCCTAGGATGTTTCCCAGGTGGGGTGGGGGTGAGAGTTGGGAAAGGGTAGTGAAAGGTGCTATTTTCCCAACTACCCAATGCCTGTGTTATATAATGCCACAGAGGGGCCATTGTTCAGGAAGATTTTGTCCCAAGTCAATACATGGTCACTCCCATGATGAGTCCTACTTGGCCTAAGATGAAAATGTAGCTTGTGTGCAACATGATTTTAAGGACAAGAAATGTACACACTCATACACCGGTCTTCCGACCAGTCTCCAAAATCTTGCCCCTTAGACTTGTCCCCCTGAATTACCTATTGTCTCCAAAAGGAAGGCCTTCATTCAAATGCCAGTCTTTATTTTTTTTATGCATTTTTATTTATTTCATTGAGGAAAAGAGAGATAGAAACATCAATGATGAGAGAGAATCATTGATCAGCTGCCTTCTGCACACCCCTTACTGAGGATCGAGCCCGCAACCCAGGCACGTGCCCTGACTGGGAATCGAACCATGAACTCCTGATTCATAGGTCGATGCTCAACCACTGAGCCACACTGGTCAGGAAAATGCTAGCTTTTAGCACTCCTTAAACACAATAGCACAGAGGTAGTCTGGCTACTAATACAGTGGAGAAGGATACAAGCCAGCAATAACAAACCCTGGGGAAAGAGAAGAATCTGATTTCCAGAGTTGCCACACTATATTATTTAAAACATCCAGTTTTCAACAAACAATAATGAGACATGCCAAAAAATAAGAAAGTATGGAACAGGGGAAATAAAGCAGTCAATAGAAACTGTCTTTGAGGAAGCCCAGACATTAGACTTACTAGAAAAAAACTTTAAATCACCTTAAATACAATTAAGGAACAACAACAAAACATGTCTAAAGAGCTTAAGGAAAGTATGAGAAGTATGACCATAATGTCTCACCAAATAGAGACTATCAATAAAGAGGGAATTATTTTTAAAAGAAACAAGTAAAAAATCTGAAGTTGAAAAGTATAATAGAAGTGAAAATTGGCTAGAGAAGCTCAATATCAGATTGGAGCAGTCAGAAAAAGAACCAGAAAATTTAAAGACAAGTCAATTGCTGGCATGTCTGTCTAATGGCTTTTCTGAACTAATTCTGGATAGTATATATTTTTTATCATTTCTAGCCACTGATGTCTCTGCTCAATTAGCCTACTGGTCAGCCAATGATTCGACAGACATATTCTAAGGGATCTGTGTGCATGTTGGGGTATATCTCCAACACTGAGGCAGTTTTCAACTCTACCTCAGCCTGCACTTTCTGCTTGTACAGAGACTCAAACTCAGCCAGATGAGAGCGTAGGGACCTCTCAGTTCTCCTTTGAGCTTGCACACTGTCCTGGTCATGTGCCAGCCCTACACATACATGAGGCCTTCTAGATTCACAGAGATACCCCCAAGCTTTTCCAACCCCGCTTTGGACATCTCATTCCTCAGTTTATCTGTTTAAGCTTTTGACTAGCTCATCACTCTCCCCAATTGTTATCCACCATCTTGGGCACAATTTTTTCCACTGCTCTCATTGCCTTAATGGAGGAAAGAACTTTAGGTGTATAATTAAAATATAATGCAAGCCATGTGTGTAAGTTAAATTTCTATGAACACATTTTTAAAAAGTAGAAAGAAGCAAGTGAAATTAATTTCAATAATATATTTTACTTATCCTAATATATATGAATATATATAATATTATTTCAATATATAATCAATATAAAGTATCATTGAGATAGTTTACACATTCTTTTTATACTAAGTCTTTAAAATTCACTTAAAGCACATCTCAGTTTAGATTAGTCACATTTCAGGTGCTCAATAGCCACATGTCCTGTTAGCTACTATATGGGACAGCACAACTTTAGAGCAAGGAGTCCTGACCGAGGGGTCCACAGATAGAATTTCGGGGTAGGAACTTGGGAGGAGGGGTAAGTCATCTTTATTTTTATTAACCTCCAACAAACTTTCACATTTACTTCAATTAGGAATATAGGAAATGAACAACAGTCATATTAGCACATGTGAGATTTTTGTCCTTGTCACAGATTGGGTTCCCCTAGGAAGCTGAGTTGGAGATTTGCATATAAGAAGTTTATAGGGGTATGCCACTGGGTCAATACTTGCAGGGAAGTAAGGCAGCAGGATTAGAGAAGAAGCTGGGCTGTGATGCAGTCACTGTAGAGGCCTCGCTGCTCCTGTGGTGAGCGCTGGAGCTGGGATGGCCCTGCAGCAATTCTGGGTTAGAGTGGAGAGGCCCCAGGTATTCACTCCTCACTACCCTGAAGTCATAGTAGGTACTGGATCTGCCACGGCTATATGTGTATCACAGTCTTTTCTAATATTGTGATCAGTGCGTTTCAGTGTCGTTGGTTTTCTTTGTAATGCTACTTACTTTATTCATTTCCAAACATTTACATTCTGAAAGGAACTCCACAGGCTTGCCAAGTTGCCAAAAGGGATCCCTGGCACAAAGGGTTAAGAAAGGCTGCTGTGAAGAATGTGTAGAGATTCTGGGAAGAGCTGGTCTGAGTAGGGCAGTTGGGGCACCGTGAGACACAGTGCATATTTGTCTTATGATCCTTTATATCAAAAAAACACAAAAAACCCTGGCAACCTTCTTTATCCCCAAATGCTCCTGCTCTCAAAAAGCTAAATTATCTGATATTTTGTCATGGCTTCTCCTGAAAGGATCTCCGCTCATCCAACGAAGGGAGCCACATTGTGAAAATTGAAAAGCCCAATGAAAGGAGTAAAAGGAGAGAAAGTGGGGCAGCCCCTCGGGGCTCGGCAGGCCGGGGAGGCATCAGCCTCTTCCAAGCAGTGAGCTACCTGACAGGCGAGATGAAGGAGTGCAGGAGCTGGCTGAAAGGTAAGTCAGTGCCCAGCGAAGAAGCAGCCGGGCCAGGCCAGTGGGCCAGCCCTGCCTCTGGTTTGGAGAGAGGGAGCTGCTCCCTCACTCAGCCATGGTGAGGGCTCCCACCGATGGGGTGTGCCAGCCCTGAGTTGACTCAGGAAGGCTTAACATACCCTAATAACTTGGAATCCCCAATGTTTTGGAATTAAATGCATTTCACTCACTTTAATTGTTTGAAAATCCTTCACTCCTTCAGGGAATAATGGAATAGCTTTTGGACAACCACTTAGCATATAAGCCATTTCCCAAACAAGCTGATTGGTCATTCTTTCACTTTTGCTAGCTGTGTATTTTGTGCCAAGTATTGGCATCACCCCTCCAATATTCCAGAGTTTTTTCTTTTTAATGTCTTCCTTCTCATCATTTCCCTAAACTAAATGCTGCAACAAACACACCTCACCTCCCTGCCCCCACACGTATGGGCTGTACTGGAAACCAACCCAGAGAATGAGATCGATTGTATGTTCCTTCTTCTGGACTGGCTTCCTCCAGGTCCTGACTCAATACTATTGTCACAGCTGTACTAAAATCACTTCTTTCCCAGCTTCCTTTCTCCAGACTACTGTCTCTGCTGCTCAGATACCAGCCCTCAACTGAGTCATACAGCACCACATAAAAAGAGCTTCCTTCCCTCTCCACCCCTTCCCTTGGATCAATAAATTTCCCTTGGAATGCTCCTGGGGCTTCCTTGCCAACCAAGCCAATGGCTGGAACGGCGTTAAATTGGTCTCAGCATGGTGCCTCAGTGTGTAATGCAAAACTAGCACCCATGCGGACTGATTGCCAGGCCACTCAGAGATGGGCTGGGTGCCAGGCTGAATGAGGGGAAGTGTCCTGGCTCAAGCATCCCTGTCTGCCTTGGTTGCCATGCCAACCAGTGGTCCAGCAGGGAAGCACAGGCTGGACCTTGCTGATGGCTCTGGTTCTGCCCGTCTCTTTCAGATAAGCCGCTGGCCCTGCAGTTCACAGACTGGGTCCTAAGGGGGACTGGCCAGGTGATGTTCGTCAACAACCCTCTCAGCGGGTTCATCATCTTCATAGGGCTCCTGATCCAGAATCCCTGGTGGACGATTGCTGGGGGTCTGGGGACAGTGGTCTCGACCTTAACTGCCCTTGCCTTGAGCCAAGACAGGTGAGTCCCTTTCCATGTTGGTCTTGTGTCTTGAGGCAGACAGGTGGAGAGGTGATTACTTGTGTGGTCAGCCTACCTTATCCTCTCAGCCAGGCCGAGGTCTCCTGAGTCTCAGCTTTGAACAGGTCATTGGAGATCCTCACAGAATTAAACCCCTCCTATGCTCACAGCAAATGACAGTGCCAGGCTCCATTTAACAGTAGAGCCTTCTGGAAACACTTCCTCTGTGGTAGGTGCAGAACATTTAGGCAGCTCTTCCCTCATGGAGCCTGCAATTTAGTTGAGGGGGACAAGACTAACAGGCAAGAAATGTCTTCTAATAATACAAGACAGTCTGTAATACAGAGTTTGGAAAAGGCAAATTTAAGCCAAATATGCATCAGAATAAAATCCAATCCCTCAACTTGGCTTCCAAAGCCTCTCTAATGCACCCATACTGCCTACCACTCAACATCACACTTGTTCCCAATTGAGCATTGTTGCTTCTGCGTATCTAATCCTGCCATTCCCTCAATCCCTCCTCCTCCAGGAAGCCACCCTGATTGCCCCAGTGTACTCTGACCCTTCCTTTCTCTCTGAACAACCACAGACCATATCCCATTACTATATTAGATGGTTCTCTAATTGCTTTCTGAGTTTTCTCTCCCTGGATATGTTCTAAGCATGTCCAAGATTAGAAGTCCAGTCCAAATGTTCCATATTCCACTCCAGTGCCTAGAAAAGATTTGAGCTTCATTACTGATAGGTCAGTACCGTGTGCTACACCATAGGTGCAAAATTCTAGGCACCTTACATACACATTCTTCTAAAGAACCATGACTTCACCACTGTCCACAATGAGCCACTGACACAGCCACATATCTGGGCCAAAACCTCCACCACAGCCTTCCACCACCACCCCAAGTATCCCACCCCCATCACCACAGCCCACTGGTCCGGAGACTGTACTTTACAGATAGTAACCCAAAGTCAGCAACACTGATGCTGCCGTGTTGTGATGGAACATGATCCTAATGAAGATCCTTTGGCATTGGGGTTGAACCTAGTTTTATAGTTTTGATGGTCAGAACAGGAGTATAAGGTAATGGGTTTCCTCCTGAAAACCAAATCCAGAAGCCACCAGACTTTTGGCAGAGAAGAGTTCTAGGAGGGCACTCTCCACAGGGAAGGGCAGCTGTGGAAGCAACCCCTAGGGCTCCCCCAATTTTATCTCCCTAAGGCTTCCTCATTTTATTCCCACTGCCGCTGCTATACCCAGCCACTGGTGCTGCAGGACTTCACAGGTATGGGCCAACCATCTTTGCTCAGTTTGCCTGAAGCAGCTAGAATGTAAAACAAAAAAATTACTAATTCTAACACCAAATGCAAATGAGAAAATAGAGAGAAAATGCAAGCACAATGAAAAATAATTATTTTCCCAAAACATGGATTTCTGCTTCTCAGATAGTTACTCTAGTCCTGAGGAGATTCTGAACACCCCCTTCTCTTCCAGACCCCCATCTACAGCTGCCCCTGATCTCCACTCCCAACCACCCCCCTCTCTCTTACACACACACACATACACACACACACACACACACAACTTCCTGGTGTCACACCTCAGGTTTCTTTCAGATTTCCCTCTACATGTAGCAATCTGAGGCTCCCCTGAGAAGGAGAGTGTAGACACAGAGAACACAAAAGTGCATAATTTAATTCTAGATCAGCAAAGGTAATCAAGGCACACGTGTGTGTGTGTGTGTGTGTGTGTGTGTGTGTGTGTGTGTGTGTGTATTTGGAAGGTGCTGGCAGTTATTTGATTGCCCAATTTAATTCTAGATCAGCAAAGGTAATCAAGGCGCACACAGGTGTGTGTGTGTGTGTGTGTGTGTGTGTGTGTGTGTTATCTGGAAGGTGCTGGCAGCTATTTGATTGCCCAACATCTATCGAATAAACTGACTCCTCTGTGAGCAGCAGGAGAGAGGGACAATGAGGTCAAACGCAAATTACTCTGCTTCCCCCCAGGTCCGCGATCGCCTCCGGACTCCACGGGTACAATGGGATGCTGGTTGGACTGCTGATGGCCGTGTTCTCCAAGAAGTTTGACTATTACTGGTGGCTTCTGTTTCCCGTGACCTTCACCTCGATGGCCTGGTGAGATGCCTCATTGTTTCTGCTCCCAGACCCACAGAGCCCCAGGATGACCGCTGTGTCTTAGAATGGACAGGGACGTGCACCGTCATGAGGCCCCACGTCTTCACAGTCAGGCTGGTCTGTCCTGAAAGACATTGTGAAAGTCCATGAGTTCAGTTGCACCCAAGAGGATCATGTTTGATCTGGAGTGACGGGGACCCTTTAAAGCAACAAAGCACCGCACATTTGATCTCGTGCTGATAGTCCTCCTTGCATGACAGGCTTCATGGAAAAGGCTGACATTCATTTCCTACATGCACAGTGCTAAGCGGTGTAGGGCTATTACTGTCCCCGCGTACAGAAGGAAAGACCAAGGCACACAGAGGTTACATAGTTTGACCCAAGGTCACACTCGGTAAAAGAGATCACTGCTAGCCTTCTGAACCCAGAGCCTGCACTGCTAAACCACAGGCTCTATAGTAATCATCTATCCTGTGGCAGAACCAAGATCCAAAAGCTGAAAACTCGCTGGTGATAGATGCATAGAGCTTTCCTGGACCAGTGCATCTGTATTCAGAGCATAGAGCCTTTGATGAGAAACATCAGCTGAGATCTTACTGTGAAATCACCTCATTTTGCAGAAGGAAGGTAAAGTAAGGTGGGAGCGTATTAAGAACTATCCACTGGGTGCAGGGTGTGCGAGGCCTTTTACTCGTGGGGGCCTTAGTTTACTTGCATCCGCACCAGGTCTGCAGGGTCCGAGGGCGCCTGCTGAATGCAGAGGCAGGAGGCCCGAAACGAACCCGTAGCCTGCAGCCCTGGGCTCACCTCCTCTCAGACATGCTGACTGATTTTTAACATCTCTAAGAAGTAAATGGCTTTCTTTGGTTTCAAAGTCTAGAGTTACTAAAAGCAGTTAGTTTAATGTAGTTTAAGTACTGTTCCATTACTTTTTAGTAGTGCTTGCAAATAAATTACTACATTAAGCATTCCAGGCAATTTATGTTTTTTCTTGGGGCTTCTTTCTTAATCTATCAGGACAAGCAGCTAAAGCAGTCAATTCTATGGGGATTTCCTTAATATCCCCCACGGGCCTCCATGTAAGGAGTAGGAGGACTTGTCCTTATTTGCATACATTTGGTTTATAACTGCATAGATTAAGCCCCTTGGCACAGTTCTTCAGCCACATCACACTGGGTGGCAATTTGTCAGCCCCACCCTTGCTTCCCAATTTTAAAGATAAACACCACTGAGCGCCCTACTCTGGGCTCAGCTCTGTGCTACTACTGTAGTTGTTCACTTATCTCACTGAGTCCTTAAAAGCCAATCCACAGCATAGGTTTTAGCAGTGTCATGTTCCAGGTTTACCCAACAAATGTTTGCTGAGTGCCTGAGATATGCATGGACTATTCTAGGTGTTGGGGACCATTGTGAGCAAGAGGTCTCCATCCTCTTAGACCTTACATTTTTCTTAGCAAAAATAGAAATAAAACACATGAACCAGTGAATTAAAAAGATCACTTCAATGTGTGATAAGTACTTGAGGAAAATAAGATGGGGCAAATGAAACAGATAGTGATTCCAGATGGGGATGTCA